AGCAGCAACCTTCCCAGCCATCTGCTTAATCACAGGGTGAAGACTCAGGGCAATCCCCAGCCCCAGGGGTAATCCAGCCCCTCCATGGGCAGCTGCTGCCCACTGAGCACAGCTGAGCACCTGACCTCTTCCACAGGGACTCTGTCTGGCACTGCCCAGCTCTGTGCAGCGGAGCAGAAGAGCCCAGACACTTTACTGCTCCTTAGTATCTTCAAAGGAAGAAGGCACTGAAGGTCTGAGAACAGATGGTTATTAAACATTTGCAACAGTTTAGTCCCCATGAACAAAGTGCTCACATTGAAACAGAACTCGCTGTGCAGAAAGCAACTGCCCAGTAATCTCTGGGTGCTGTCAGGCTGTATGTTAGCTCAGACTCACCTGATCAAAGGGCCATACAGAGTCTATTTTGGGCTTGATTTTGCCTTGACTGTAAAGGTTAACCAGCTTGGCTACAACACCTCCGACAAGCTCGAACTCCTCATCCATGTATCCAAGGTGGTAGCCACACACAGCCTTGTTATGGTGTAGGAGCTGCAAGGCATTGATGCTGAACTGGTTCCACCAGGTTTTAGCCATAGCCATGAGGTTCTTCTTCTGCCCAGTGAGCAGGTTTGCTACACCTAAGAAGGCAAGGCACATATGAGCTGGAACCAACACAACACCAGAGGCAGTGATACCGAGTAACAGCCACACACACAGCGGTGGAGGGCAGAGATGAGAACTGGATCACATCAGGATCTACCTAGCTAACCTTCAGTGACAACAGGTACCTGCCTCGGCTTCAAGATACGCAGAACGTGTGGATTATCGGCACCCACATACTGCAAAAAACAACTCTCTTAGGAGGGCAGCAGCAGTGGAACTAGACTGCAGCGCTGGCAGAGGCAAGAGAGGCTTACGTGCCACATCCAGCCAGGCTGGCAGGCCAGCACTCTCCTCCTGCAGCCAGGCTTCTTCAGGGGAGCCACACGCTGCAATGGCTGGGACAACAGAAGCAGCACACTGGTGCAAGTGTCTGGAATGCCACTGGGGGTTGTGTCAGGGCTTTGTCTATTGGACAAAACCACAGTGTTTCAGGGCTGGGGAATGGAGAGATAAGTATGCAGTAGCCTCAAACCTCATCACCCACACACCCTCTAGAAGAAAAGCAAGGCTCTATTAGCGCTGTGCATTAAGTCAGCCTGGACAAAGCAGCTCTGCCAGCATTCCTCAGTGAGGACATTCCAGCTTTCCTTACAGGCACCGGCTGGTGCTTGGAGAAAGATCTCTCCATGGGAGGGGAAGGGCCTCTGAGTCTGTGACCAGAGCTCTTGGGACAATGAACAAATCTCGCTCCTCTGAGTGCCTCATCGAGGCAAAGCATCCTAAAGACCTTTGGGAAATAACAGAACTATAACACACAACAGTGATGCTCCCTCATGGCTGGGCATCCTGGCACGGAGCAGCTCAGAGCTTTCCCTTGCAGATGCACACCCATCCCGCCATCACACGGTCCCTCCTACGCAGGAGCTGGGCTTTGGGCACGCTGCTCACACTTACCATAAGTGATGAGTTTGCCCATCGGCTTCAATAGGTTGAACGCTTTGGTTGTATCGGATCCTCCCAGAGGGTCCAGGACAATGTCAACACCTAGAGAGAATTTAAAGTAAATACAAGGGTGTTTTTTTTCATTTGAAAGACGGGCAGGACAGTTGCAGAAGTCCTCTACCACACGATACCTTTGGGAGAGATTTTCCGGACCTCTTCTGCGTAATCCATTGTTCTGTAGTCAATGGGGTGAGCGACTCCACTCTCCCTGAGTGAATCATGCTTGGAGGCAGATGCTGTCCCAAAAATGGTGACATTTTCTACAGTCTTGCACAGCTGGATGGCAGCAGTTCCCACACCACCTGAAAACCAACAGTGAGACTTAGAAGCAAACGGGCAGTCAGAAAAGCCTTTGGAGAGGTAAATTATCCTAGCACTTGAGGCTACGGTGTAGTGGTTAGGTATGCTGGGATGAAGGTTGGACTAGATGATCTTCAGAGGTCCCTTCCAACCCCTAACATTATGTGATTCTGAGAAGTACTTACCTGCAGCCATGTGGATAAGGACACTCTGGTTGGGTCTCAAGTTTCCAAAGTCAAACAGGATCATGTAGGCAGTGATGTAGTTGACAAGAAGAGCAGCTGCTTCCTCAAAGCTCATTCCCTCAGGCATCAGGAAAGTCTGACTGGCTGGCACATTCACAACTTCTTGCCAGAGCCCTGACCTAGCCAGGACCATCACCTTATCGCCAACCTAAAATCAGAGGATAAGGTGGTCTGAAACAAGCCCCAGGCTAGCAGAAGTCAGCACACCCATGCCCTCCAGATGCCAGAGCCAGGCACTCACGTGTTGTTCTCCATGCAGAGTTCTGCAGGGACTGCAGCACCCCAGGCTTGGGCAGGAGCCTGTCGCCTGCACAGCGCTGCTGGGCAAACCGCACCGCAGCGCCTCTCGCCACAGGCCCACGCCAGGAGCTCCAGAGGGACCGCAGGTGCCCCTGGCTCTGGCTCACACCCAGTGTGCTGCCTGTCTGCCAGCTGCCCAAACCAACCGCCTCCCAGCGGGGTAAGAGGGCTGGGGGCCATGTCCTCGCCCTCTGCCCAAGCTGGGACCAGGGGTCCAAACATCAGAAAATATTTCTGATGCCCCTTATACGGATCATTCTGCCAACAGGCAGGAGACTTGGGGCAATGCTTAAGAGGATCAAGCCTCGAAAGCCCAGGCCTAAGCCTCAGGCCTGAAGTCTGAAGCATCCCCCCAAAATCTGTTCTTATCCCACCGGGCAAAAAACGCCTGCTCACTGTGCGGCAGGAAGGAGAAGGCAGAACACCAGGCAATCCCATCAGCAAGCAGACAAGAGGCAGAGTCAAGGCAACAAGCAGAAAGGCTCCTTGGTGTGTGGGTTCGGCATTTACACCTGAATAAACCAAGCTGCTTTCCCGGAGGGAAGCGAATCATCTCTGAAACTCTCGGGTTTTTCTGACGCTTTTGGTAATTGCGCACCAAAGAATCACCTTAAAGCAGCGTAATTGCAACGGCCCTAAGACCCAAACGTCTGGGACAAGCAGAGCCAAAACCTCTGTCCCCTGAGCTGCTGCAAACC